GGAGAGGAGGGGAGAGGAGGGGAGGGGAGAGGAGAGGAGGGGAGAGGAGAGGAGAGGAGAGGAGGGGAGAGGAGAGGGAGAGGAGAGGAGAGGAGAGGAGGGGAGAAGCTGAAACATGTCAATAGTTCATTATTGATCGCATGTAGAGCCTCAGTCTTGTTCCTACATTGTAACACTTGTAGAAACTTGAATATATAGATTATTGTTTTCAAATTTTTGTAAAAGAAATTTTCAAGGAAATTCAACTTGTGTTTTTTAGTTTTTATGATGTATGACATCAAAACTGTTGTTCTGCACTAAAGACGTGTTGTAGTTCTGTCTACTTCTACTCATCATGGCTCTGTTTATAGAGGAGCAGGACTTTTATTTTGAAGAGAAGATCAAGACCACAGAGAGAAACATGTGCTGTTTGGTGTTCAAAGGGTAGAAGCAGCACCAACAGATAAATGTGCTTTTATCTTGTCTTAACAACAAACAAGCCCTTTGATTCCCACTGAAGACGTGGAAACACCAACATCTTGTTTTTATCAAACACGAGTCTGAACTTCATCCATGAGAATAAAGGGATCAGAATGTCTCACATCTTCATCCTGGTTGATCTGATGTTAGAACAGCTCATAATCATGAAGGATGCTCGTTGTCGTCCTCCCTGCAGCCCATCACCGTGGTGAAGGACATCTGCGATCAGTCCGTCTCCCCCGACAGGGAGGCGGTGTTTGAGTGCGAGATCAAGATCAACTACCCGGAGATCACCCTGTCCTGGTACAAGGGCACCCAGAAACTGGACACCAGCAGCAAGTACGACATCAGCATCAGCGGCGAGCGCCACCTGCTCAAGATCAAGAGCTGCCAGGCCAGAGACCAGGGGAACTACCGGGTGGTCTGTGGGCCGCACATCTCCAGCGCCAAGCTCACCGTCATGGGTCAGTCCTGTCATAGGTCGTAGGTCACATCATTCTGTAGGGCTACTAGAGGCCACATGCTGAAGGTGTGCTCATGGAGCTGCTGCTGATGGACTCTAGTCTTAGATTACTAGAGTAGTGAGTCAGAGAGTCAGCGGTGGAGAAGTACTCCGATCTCTAACGTGTCTCTGGTGCTTCTCACAGATGTTCATTCATCTCTAGGATGTGTTCATCACCAGAGGACGTAGAAACAAAGAGACGACGAGTGGAGGTGTTAAACTAACCTCCACTATGAAGAGCAGGGATTATAATCATCTGTGAACTCATATCTCATGTTCATAAACTACTTTATCACCTTCATACAAACCCTGTAGAGAAAGAAGTCAAGTATTAATGTGTTACAAAGACACATAACATCCTGTAAACTCTTTGACGTGGCTGATACATATTTAATTATTAACACTTCCTGCTTCTAAAAACGAATTGTTCTTCTTTGTCTGTTTAATCCTCAAACATGTAAATAATGTTTTTATCAGTGAAATATTTATCACGTGATCAAGTTATAGAAATTCAGATCCACATTCCATGCTGATATTTGAATGAACTTGTTCCTGGAGGCTCGTCTTTATCTGCTGAGTTTATCTTAATGTGTACAAATATGTCACAGTTTATTATTCGCTGATATTTTGTGTTATTAATTCAAACCTGCCCGGTAACTAATGCTGTCAGATCTATTTAGTGCATTCAAACGTACAATATCTCCTCTAAGATGTAAACAATATAAAGTAGCATGAAATAGAAATACCAAAGTAAGAATTTTAACTTTGTACTCAAGTACTGTACTTTAGTGAATATGTTGAGTTACATCTTCTGTGTTTGATCACATCTAAAAGAAATGTGAAGTATTGCATCTTTATCTAAAGCATGGATGAGATGAACATGTCAGCACTTGTAAACCTAACGGTCGCTCCATGTCCTTCTTTGTCTTCCAGAGGTGGAGAGACATCTGCAGGACACATCGGGTAAGGAAGGCCAGCCGTGCTCTCTATCTTGTCAGTTGTCCGTCCCGAACGTAGAGACTCAGTGGTTTAAAAATGGCCATCGGTTAGAGATGAAGGGCAGGTACTCGTCAGAGGTGAAACACAAGGTTCAGAAGCTTCTGATCAGAGACCTGAGAACTGAAGACCAGGGCAGATACACCTGCAGGTACCACAACCTGGAGTCCTCTGCAGACCTCTGGGTGGAAGGTTTGTACCCGGGAACGACCTTCTAGACGTGGTGGATGTTCTCCGTGTTACTAACCTCTTTTGGACTCATCAGGCTCTGAGACTAACCATGGAACCTTTGGATTCAGCTCCTCTTTTTTTGTGTCTTTCTTCTGGGATTTGTGCTCCTCTGTCTTTAACCCTCTTCATGCCTCTCCTCTTCTGGATTATCTTGCTCACCCATCATCATATTCGTTGTCTTCTTACGTTTGTCTGGACTCAAATCCACCACCCCTCCCCCACCAACAAGCAGTCCTCATAACCGTCCCATCATCACCTCTAACCATGTGGCTGTTGTGTCCATTAAAACAAACTATTCTCATACATTCCCAGCTGTGATGCCGTCTTACCCATTCACGTCTTTATCTGTTTTAGCCGAACAAATTCATTTCACCAAACGCATCCACAACATCGAAGTCAACGAGCGCCAGTCGGCCAGCTTCGAGTGCGAGGTGTCCTTCGACAACGCCATCGTTTCGTGGTACAAAGACACCTGGGAGCTGAGAGAGAGCCCCAAGTACAACTTCACGAGCGAGGGCCGAAGACATTTCATGGTCATCCGAAACGTGTCCGTGGAAGACGAAGGTGTGTAGAGAGCTACATGGAGGCCCCTCAAAGGGCCCGTCACAAAGACCTGCAGATTTTTATTTTTTCTTCTTCCCCCACATTGTTCTCATGTTTTAAACGTCTTCATTGATAATCCCGTGTAGGCGTGTACTCAGTGATTGTGAGGTTGGAGCCCAGAGGAGAGGCTAAGAGCACAGCTGAGCTTTATTTGTCTGGCAAAGGTACAGTTTCCAGTCAGACGCCATCTTCTTATGTTTCTGTTCAGCTTCTGTCTGTGTTAGTGTTTCACACCTTCTTCACTCTTCCCCCCTTTTTTCACAGAAATTGAATTGGCAATGGTGCCCTTCGGTAAGTATTTCATTTTCTCGACAACTTTAATCTATTAGGGACATTTTTGGGAAATCCTCTTGTTCTCCGTCTTCATCAGCTTCATCTCTGCAGACATGTTTAGCCTAGCTTAGCCCAGAGCACCTACAAACAGCTACTATAGTACCTTGTTATGTTATAGGAGGGAGACCCTGGGAACATAGGACCTTAGTAACATAGGATTCTGGGAACATAAGATAATGGGAACTTAGGACCTTAGTAACATAGGATCCTGGGAACATAAGATTATGGGAACTTAGGATGTGGGACATTTATCTTAAACCTTGTAACAAGTCTGACAAAGGCTGGGTAACTAGAAGAATTCCCAAAATGTCCGCCTGTCCCTTTAATAACAGAACAGTTCTTGTGGTCTAAGACTAATGTACATGCAGTCCTGTTTTTCTGAGATAATGGTTGCATTATTATAGTGTCTTTAAAGTAAAGTTCTGGTATGAACCATATTCCATGTCCTTTAGATGTCCCAGACTCCTCAGTGCAGAGGCCTGAAGTGCCTTCATCAGTGGCAATTCAAGGTAAGACTGGAATCATCAGAAAGTTGATTTGTACAAGAAGTCACTGCTTTACTCCAGTTCACTTTAAAGTGACGGTGTACATCTTTATGGATCTTTGCCTAAATTCTCAAATGTAAAGACAGCAAAGAAATAAATGAAACCTTTTAACCAAATCTAACATCGTAATGAAACCAACATGTGTTTTTGTCTTTTAAAGAATCTGCTGAATTCTATCAATATGAGGAAGAGATTGAACATCGAGGTATTTACTGTGTTTATGATAAAACACAATGAATTCACCTTTTTACAATTGTTATCTCTCTCTGATAGTCAAACTAATCCACAGAATGATCTGTTGTGTTCTTTGCTTTCTGAAGAATCAGCTGAATATTCATATCACTATGAAGAAGTGGTGGAACAGAGAGGTACAACATGTTTCTTCATCTTTTCACTCCATCAAACCATCTGAGCAGATATGGGATCATTTGATCAAAATATATAGTCCTAATATATCACATCACAAGAATAGAACAATAAGGATAAAGAGGACTGTGCTTTGTTTTCTGACAATGTGCTTTTAAATCTTTATCTAAATATTCTTGGAGACATTTTATAATGACATGTTAATAACTAATACTGCAGTTTGGATTCATCTGACAGAGTTAGATATCATAAGCGGTTAATAATAATAATAATAATAATAATGAAGGAGTAATATTCAGGTTAATTTGTGCTCAATAAGCATCTGAGGATCTAAATTGATGCAAATCTGCCTCTGATCATCACAACCATCACTGTGTCGACTGATCTCAGATTTAGTATCAAAGTCTTTGTCACTTCTTCTTTGTTTGTTTTTTTCACTTCTTTCACTCTTTTAACTTTCATCCCGTCTTCATCTCGTCATCACAGTCAAGTCTTTTGTAAACAGTGTGAAGTGTTGATCTGAGTTCAGTTAGTTTCATCTGAAGGTGAAATGTTGGCTTTATTCTGCTGTTCTGTCTCTTTGTGGTCGTGTTGAGTCTGTTTGTCTTCCTTCTTAGTTGTTCTGTGTCTCTTTGTTGTTGTCTTGTGTTTCTTTTTGACCTTTCAACCAGTTATGTTAACAGAAGCTTTGTCTCAGGGTTAGGGTTAGGGTAACCCAACCTATGCTTTCGGGGCCAGGTTATTAATCTATTTATTAAATCAGGAAGTGACTTTTTTTTAAAGCATTGTAGTTTCAGTCAGCTCATTTCTCACGTTTGTTGTCTTTTGTCACTTTGTGCTTTCACACCTTCAGAGGAGTTTGAGAGGCGGACAGAAGAGGCAGTAACACAGCAGGAGTCTACAGCCAAAGGTATCACACCTCAGTAACACAGGAAGCTAATGTGTGTGTTGAGCCGCTCTGAATCATGGCTCTCTCTTCATGTCTCACCCTTTTTACTCGTCTTCGTTTGTCTCATAACCGTCCTCTTCTGTCTCTACTTTGCCATTAAACCCTTTTCTTGGTTCCTGAACGTCAATCTGAAGTCGATCAGGTTCATTTTATGGCTTCTGCTCTTTAAACCATTTAAACCTCTTTAAACCGTTTTCATTTCTTCCTCCAAATGCATGAATGTAGAACATCAGTAATGATATCGCTTTGCATTGAGCTTCCTACTTACCATGTGCATTTGAGGTGAGGAGTGAGGAGTCTACACTTTGAACAGTTTGTTATATAAAGCAACACATCGTATCAGCTTTCTGATGTAACATAACACAAGCTTTCATACAGATTGATTCAACAATTTGAATACAATTACTGGACTTCATTACGAGCAGTAATTCGCCTTTTAAGTGAGAAAAGGTTGTTTTGCTTCAGACAACTTCAGACAGTTGCTGTTTTTTGGACTGCGATGGTGATTCTGGATGTTTCTGGTTTGTTTCCTCCCTCAGCTGCCGTTGAGGAGAAGATGGAGACCAAGAAAGTTGAAATGAGAGAGGAAATCCCAACAAAAGGTACCAAACACCTGAACGTCTTCCTGCTGCAGCTCAGCCTCTCTTAACTCGTCCGTCCTCCGCTACTAAAATCTTTGACTCTTTTGTTTCATCAGCTTTGTGTTTTCATTCCTTTCCTCTCTTACCTGCTGCAGATAGACTCTTTACATAATCTACTGTCGTTGCTTTTTCTGTCTTCTTATCTTCTGCTGAGCTTCTCTGCTTCACCTGAAAATGCTCAGCATCTCTCTTGTGTTGCTAAAACCATCGGTGTCTCTTTAAGTTCCCAAAGCCGTGAAGAAGCCTGAAGAGAAGCTGACAGCAGATGTGAAGGAGCCCTCAGCACCAAAAGGTACCAGCATTCCTCTGATGTCGGCATGTACCGGTTTAGCAATCCATTCGGGTTGTTTACACTTTTACAATAGTTGAATGTAATGTGTCTTTTTGAGCCTGTTATTGTTTTTCATGTTGTGAGATCTCACTTCATTTTTACTGACATTTTGAAGCACTGGAGTCCAGAAAGCCAGTGGAGGAAAAGGTTCCTGCAGTTTTAGTCCCAGAGAAGAACAAAGTTCCTGCTCCAAAAGGTAGATGTCTGATTTCAACCATCTCTCTTTGCTGATGACTCTGTCCTTTATGTTTCAGTATTCTGTCTCGATGAGGCTCAGATTCAGCTCTAGTCCTCTCGTCGTCTCATTTTCTGTGACTGTGTGGTTAATCTTGTGTTTTGAATGTATCTTAAAAGAACCAGAGGAGGTAAAGAAACCTGCCGCTGCCCCCCCGCCACCTGCCGAGAAGCCCGGAGTGCCAAAGAAAGGTACTTTATAGTTAGTGTGAGATCTTACCATTAGCAGCTTTCTTGAGCTCACGGCTTTGTAGCTTCTCACCTCTTAATGTCTGTCTTTCTCTTTTGTGCTCTGTACTTGGTGTTTTTCACTCTTCTCACTCTTCATCTTCTCTCTCTGTTGAGTGTCGTCTCAGTCTTTTCGAGCGTCTCTTGATAAATCTTAGATGCTACCACGACTTCATGCTAATTAGCTAATGTCTGTGTTACCTACCTGAAGATGAGCCCAAGCCTCAGGTACGAGCTGAGCCCAAAAAAGTGGAGCCTACAGTTAAGCCTGAGCCTGAACCCAAAGCGAAAGAAGAACCTGAACCAAAACCGAAGCCCACACCGGCTCCCAAAGCAGAACCTGAACCAAAACCGAAGCCCACACCGGCTCCCAAAGCAGAACCCGAAGCCAAACCGAAGGTGGACCCTGAAGCTAAGCCGGTGCCGGTAAAGAAGCCGGTAACGCCTCCATCCAAAGGTATTTCCTGCTTTGTTTGTTTCTGTGTGTTGATGTTAAAGACTTGATTTTGTCTGAACCGGGTTTTTTTCAGCTTCAAGTGTGGAAGCGATTCTTTTACTTTCTGTGTCCCGATTGTCTTTGCTCATCTCTAAACTAAATGTTGCTTTAAGTCCCTGAAGAGGCTCCAAAACCAGAGCCGCCAAAGATCCAGTCTGAACCGGCAGTGAAAAGGCCAGAACCAGAGGCTCCAAAAGCAGAACCAGAAAAACCAAAACCAGAAGTCCGTAAGCCTGAGCCTCTTGTAGCGAAGCCAGAACCTGCTGCCACCAAACCAGAACCTCCAGTTCAAAAACCTGAACCTGCAGTGGTCCCCAAACCTGAACCTGCAGTGGTCCCCAAACCTAAACCTGCAGTGGTCCCCAAACCAGAACCTGCAGTGGTCCCCAAACCTAAACCTGCAGTGGTCCCCAAACCAGAACCTGCAGTGGTCCCCAAACCTAAACCTGCAGTGGTCCCCAAACCAGAACCTGCAGTGAAAAAAGCTGAACCTGAAGTGAGAGTGCCAAAACCAGAAGCTCCAAAGACCAAACCAGAACCGAAGCCTGCACCAAAGGAACCTCTTAAGAAAGGTATAAACATCTCTGATTGAGATGCGGCTCCATGGTTTTTCTTAATGTTCTTAACTCCATCATCCAACTTTAACATCTTCATTATCATCTTGAGTGGTTTTACATGAGTGCTTATTGATCCTGATCCTTCATCTTCACCGTAACCCATCACACTAAAACCCAAACTCTTCCATTCATCTTCGACTCTCTTTGACTTGGTTGGTTTGTGTTTTTTAACGTCTAACTTTAGTTCCTGTGATGATTCGATGGGGCTGCACGTCCTGTTTGTCCGGTTTAGTTGAGTTTCTCTTGTCGTGCACTCGATAGAGTGCTTGTGTTTGTCCACCTCTAACAACACTCTTCAGTTCTTTTGAAAAGCTTCTAATGTCTGTGAATGGTGCTCTTTAAAGTTCCTGTGGAGGAAAAACTACCCGAGCCTCCAAAAGCATCCAAGAAACCAGAAGTTGCTGCTGTTGTTCCTCCCAAAGAAGAGCTGAGGCCGACCGAGAAAGGTACTTTAATGGTCCTGATGGAGCTTCAGTCACAAGCTCACACTTTGTTTTGTTTGTCCTGTTACTCAAATTACCCCGAGGCCTCTAAATGATATTATTTACTTACTAAATATAACATATATTGAATATAATGATCTTTCATTCTTTGAGTAACTGCTTTGTTTAATGTCTCTTTAATGTGCGACAGCACAGCTTTCACTTCTTCATGTCTTGAGTCATGTGTTTGTGTCTAACCCTCTTAAAGCTCTGAAGCCCAAACCTAAACTCTTACCTGAACAAGTACCTCAGAAGGTGTTTGAGGAGACCGAACCTGCTAAAATACCTGAACCCGTACCTGAGAGACGGCCTCCAGGTGCGGAAAAGACCCCTGAGAGGGTCCCAGAGAAGGTGATGACACCTGAGAGGAAAGTCGAGGAAACTCCAAAGAGGGTACCTGAGGAGAATGTACTGGAGAGGTTTCCTCCTGAGGAGGTAAAACCTGACCTGGTGTCTAAGAAACAACCAGAGAGGATCTCTGTAGATAAAACACCTGAGAAGATACCTGAAGCTAAACCCAAACCTGAAGCTAAACCTGAGGAGGTAGAAGAAAGTCTTCCTAAAGGTACAGAACGAGGTCTACAGCGAGGCAGATCTCACCTCTTTATTTGTCTTTGTGCATGTCGGTAGCAGTTCAGTTACACTTACACTTACAGTTAGTAGTTACACTAACTGTTACTCTATGGCAGCACTTCTAAACACACACTCAAAAACATTTGCGGTTGCTTTTAGTTCAATGTGCAAAATGTAAATAATAAAAGGAGTTTGATAAATTAAAGGTAAACTGATCAATGATGCAGCAGAAATCATTTAAATGTAATTATTTAGTCAGAAAACTGTCTCTAATGTGTTAGTCACGATGTGTCAGATTAGTAAATTCTGTACTTCTGCAATGAACAACGAACAGTTTAGTTTTTTGAAGAGTTTTCAAACTGAAGTCAAACTGAACTGGTGCCTCGTCTTCTTACTTCCCTCTTTGACGTCTGACTTCTCGCTGTGTGATTTCATATTTGCTGGTTATTTCTCTGTTTGTTTGTTAAATGTCTAAATTCTCCTCTTTTTTAAAACCCTCTTCTCTGATCCGACGCTTCGTCTTGGATTAAAAAACGGATTTGTTCTTTAAAAGAAATAGAAAGTAAGAAGATTGAGAAGATTCTTCCGTCAGAGGTTTCTGAAGAGAAAACCGTGTCTCCTCCAGAAAAAGGTAGCGACCGTCTGAGATCATGACGGAGTGCTTTCACCACTTCTTAGTCTTTAACACTTGGCAGGTGGATTATCACCGTTTACTAATCTCTGTGTCGTCTCTTCCAACACTAATGCTTGTCTTTGTGTTTTGTCCGTCACCTCTTGGCGCCGCCGAATGACGCCTCTTCTTCAACTCTTTAAAAGGAACCACGAGTCTCGTTAAGATCGAGCGAAGGAGAGGAGCTCAGAAGATTCAGGAAGTCTTTTACGTGACGGAGAAAGTGTCGCCCACGGAGGAGGCGTGGGAACACGGGGAGGTGGTGGAGGAACATGCCGAGGTGTCCTACGAGGACGAGGCGGCTCGTCCGAGTGAGACGATGGCGTCGTTATCGGAGAAAGAGTTCTTCTTCAGTTCAATAGAAAAGGCCACAGATCAAAAGTCTGAGCTGAGAGCTGAGATTTCTGTTACTGACTCTTCAAAGAGGAAAGAAACCAGGTTGACCAAACACAAGAAAACTCAAGAAACTGTTGTTGTAGTCCAGCAAACTGAATCGGACAGAGACAAAACTAGAGAAACGAGGGAAGACAGGATTTTTATCAGCACCATCGAGTCGCCAAGAGAAGTTACAGAGGAGAGGAAAGACGGCGGTTCAGTCAGACAGCTGCAGGACGAGAGCTCTGGTGTTACAGTCACAAAGACGGGAGAGATCACCTTTGAAACAGAAAGCAAAGAGAGACCAGTGAGACGACAGGAAGTCAGGAAAACTACAACCAAAGAAATAGAGTCAGAATCAGAAAAGATCTCGTCAGTGACTGACGCAGAGAAAAGTGATGCAGTTATTATCAGAGGAAAAGAAACTGAAGGAAAGGTTCTGATAGAAGTCTCCAAACAGGAATCAGTCGATCACGACGTTTCAGATAAATACAGTAGAACTGAGACTATTACAATCCAGCAGACAGAAGTCACAGTTAAGGACAAACTGACACAAGTTGGTTCCATTCAGGTGAAAACGGTAGAAGAGAAAACTAGTAGAAAAGAGGAAACTACAGTTAAACCAGCAGTCGTTCCTGACTCCAAAAGAGATGAGACTAGTGCGCCAGAAAAAGTACCGGTAAAGAAACAGGAGAAGAAGTTAAAGTCTGATGAGATAATTAAAAAACCAAAACCTAAAGAAGAGTCAGTCAGAACAAACATCCAGCTTCAGAGGCCAAATGCGACCAAACAGGAGGCGGAGTCTCACTTTGTTGCTGCAAGAACTGAAGCAGAAAAGCAGAAGAAAGAACAATCCAGAGACGTCCCTCAAACAGAAGAAACTAGTCTTTTAATGGAGGTTCAGAGGAAAACCTCTGAACCAGAGAAGAGAAGGATTTCCCCTCCAGCTGCTTCCAGAGGTACACAGAGAAATTCTAACATCTTGATCATTTCCATCTTTAACTTTCTCATTCGTAAATGTCTCTTCATGTTCTGTGCTTTAAACGTGTTCTTTTTTATACCTTTGTGGTTTTAAGTCTTTCTTCCTCTTACACGTTAATATCTTGCGTTAAACAAAACCTTATCATTCATTAAAGAACCAGAAGTCGAGGCCGAGACGATTGTTGCTGCTTCGTCTGCTGAGAAAGTGGAGATAGAAGGAAAACGAACAGAGAGAGGTACAACGACAGCACTCTTTCAGCTGCTTCCTCTTTCTTATTATCTGAGTTTGTCTGGTTTAACTTGTTTGTGTCTGTGTTGTTGTTGTTTTCTCCCTAATCTCTTGGCACCGCTACATGGTGCTTTCTCTTCACACCTCTTAAAATCCTCCATCCTCAAGCGACAACCACCGGTCTTTTAGAGGCCGAGAAGAGAGCCGGAGCTTCGTCTGCAGAGGGAAGAGAAGAGTTTGAGGCTGAAATTTATCACGAAGAAGAAGAAGAAATTAAATCTAAATCTTTGCAGCAAGAAGGGATTTTAAGTGCGCTGATAGAACCTAATGATGAGTCTGAAATAAGGGGAGATTTAACTGTTACTTATGGTTTAAAAACAAAGGGTCTGAAAACAAAACAAAAGCTCATCATGACTGGAAATGAATCTAAGAGGAAAGAAACTGTGGCAGTTCAGGATGAACCTAGCGAACAAGAAGAGTTTTCTGTCAAAAAAACAGATCCTCCAACAGCGAGCGTAGAAATAAAAGACATTGAAAAAGATATTAAAGAACATAAAGAAGCTTCTCAAAGCAAAGACAGAAAATGTAAGAGTCCAGAAAGTTCAGTCAAAGCTGTTTGTGATGAAAAACAGGTGATAGAACCACAGCAGGAAGGTAGTATCGCTCAGGGACTGGAAGATGACACTAAAATAGTTTTGTCCAAAGTAGTTCAACTTAAAGACAAGCTGGTCAAAGTCAGTCCGATGGAAGGAACTACTGAGGTGAAACCCGACAGAGACTCAGTTTCTCCTGCGATAGAGGTCAAACACCCAGAATCACTGTCGGATAGAGACACCCTTAAAAAAGCTGGAATCTTATCTGAAAAGAAAGATGTTGCTCAGACAGAAGATGAGGACCGAGTCAAAGCTGTTGTTAAAGACAAACCAAAAGAAAAGACAAAACCAAGACCAGAGCAAGCTGTGAAACAGTCCTCTGTGAGATCTGAGCAAGAGGGACCACCAAAACCAACGGTAGACCATTATACCCCAGAACTAGAAACCACTAAGGTGCAGGACTCCGCTAGGAAAGACAGAGTTGTTAAAGGAGAAGACGATCTTCATTTTAAAGAAAGGGAACAAATGTTAAAAGAAACCAAAGACCTGACAGAGATGGTAACAACTGAGGATCAACAACACATAGTTCCTAAAGCTGAAAAGATAAAAACAGGAAAGGAACAGACTGAAAGAAAAGCATCAACTACTCCTGTTATTAAATCATTGACAGAACCAGATCCCCCCAAGAGAAAAGAGCCAATGTTAGCCCAAACCGAAGAGCTTAAAGACGCTCAGTTAAAACGGGTCACAAGTAAACGTCAAACATCTAAAATTAAAAAAGGAAAAGAAGACTTTTTGTCAGAAACGTCTCAAATAGAAGAAGTTCCACTGAAATCTGAAGTTGAAGTTCAGTCAGAGGTCAGAGGAGATGAAATTAACAAAGTTACAGACGCATTTATTCCCACGGAAGAGCAGAAAACAAAGAAAACTGTATTTAAAAAGCTTCCAATTGAGCAGAAAGAAAAGCAGGAACAGCAGCAATCAATCAAAGGTAAATCTGACGATGTCCAGTCAAAGATTCAGGAGGAAACTGTTGAAGACACTTTTATTAACGTAACAGAGCTAGAAAGAACTGAAAGAACATCCTCAATCTCTCCAACAATCAAAATAACTCATAAAGAGTCACTGAAAGCAGGAGATGGTTCAGAAACTGCTAAAGTTGTTCCCAGTGAGACAAGTCAGAAACAACTTCATCCAGTGATGGACACCACTTCATCAAAGCCAGATATCAATATTAAACCTAGTAGAACGGCTGAAATCCCAGCAGAGGATGAGAGCTCAGAAAACATTCCACTAAAAGACAAAGTAGCTCAGAAGGAAACAAGACAGAATCGAGACAAAATTGACAAGATTAAAATCAAAGAAGTTCAGTCGAAGACAGACGAGCAAAGAGATAAACTCTCTCCAAATGTTCAGCCAAAGATCGTCAAAGCTGAGGACAAAATCCCTAAAGTTTCTAAAACTGAAGAACAGAAGCAGCGTGAAAGAAAGGCCAAAACTGTTGAATCAGAATATCCACAAGAACCACAACAGAAATTCGCCAAACCTCAAGAGATTCTTGTTGAACAAGACCAGCAAAATGTCAGCAGAGTTAAAGATAAAACCTTTAAAGTTACTTCTATCAAAGAAACGAAACCGGAACAGATCGAAAGGAAGGTTTCAGTTCAGCCTTTCACGGAGGAAACTTCTGAAGAACTGGAAGTAGCTCCTAAAAAACATGCAGAAAACCAAGAAAGTGAATATGTAACAGCTAATAAGGAAACTGAAGAGTCAGAGAGTATTTCTCAGGAAGAATCAATATCTCTGAAGGAGAGACGACAAATGTTAAGCAAAACTAAAGAAGCTGCAGACGAACAAATCCAATCACAGTCGGTCACAGTTGAGAATAAAATTGTAAAAGTGACTCCTATTGAAGATGGGACACCAAAAATAGCTGAACAACTTATTGAAAGAAAAGTCTCAGGTGCGTCTGAGGTTGAGGTACAAGTACCACACACAAAACATTTGGTGGAGCAAGATACTCAAAAAACAGGAAAGGAGGGAATTCCTAAGTCTGAAGCAAGATACTCAAAGGAAGAAACACAAAAGATAAAGAGATTACAGAAGTTACCAAAGACTGGAGATAAAATAGAGGAAGAATTCCAGACAGGTGTCCTGATTAAAGAGCAAACACCTCTGACTGAAGACGAGAACACAAAACAGGAACAGGAGTATCTGTTGAGGCAAACTGAGCCTGAAGAAACCGTTAAAGGTGATATGTCAGTTTCTCTTAAGAAAGATGAAGCTCAAAAGGATAAAAGGCCAAAGTCAGCCGAATCTAAAGAGATTACAGTTAAAGAAGTCCAGGCGAGGACAGTCACAGTTACAGAAGAATACGGGAATGTTACACCTTTAGAGGCCACAAATGTCCAACAGGAACAAGCTGAAATAATGAGCTCAGTGGTACCTGCGGTGAAGGATGCAGCTAAAAAACATCTAACAATAAAAGATGATGATGTTAAAACAAATATTCCACAACAGATGATCTCAGCTGATGATGTGGTCAAAGACGTTTCTTTAAGAAAAGAAAAAGAGGTAGAAGGAGAAATCGGGTCCAAATTAATCTCAGCTCAAAGTAAAAGACAAAAAGTGTCTCCCATTGGAAAGAAGACACTAAAAAGACGAGAACAAATTGAAATCACAGCCTCATCCACTACTGAGCCTGAAGTAACATATGAAAAGTCTGATGTTCCAGAAAAATATGCTGAAACTAAAAGGACTGATGAAGACAAAGACACAGGAAAGAGGGATGTCAGTGAATTTGAAACCACTCATCCAAAGAAAGAAAAAACACTGACCAAGAGAGAAGAGAAGTCAACAAAGACAGTCAAAGAAATTCAGCCAATAAGAGATTCAAAGAAAGACAAAACAGACAAAATAGTGGAAAGATCTCCGATTGATAAAGATGGAGATTCTTTATCAGATCCTTCCAAACAGATTCCAGTTAAACAAGCCAAGAACAAGGAAGACATAGTTAAAGACAAACGAGAGAAAAGTGAAGGTAAAAGAAGTGTTTCAGGTGCAGCTCAACCAGAAGTAACACATGAACACACTTTGATAGATAAACATCCAGTAACAGACCAAACCAGCACAGTTCTTCCAGCTGAAGAGATGGAAACCAGACACACACAAATACAAACAAAGACAGCACTTTGTCCTGTAATGAAGGGAAAAGATTTAGAAGACATTTCACAAAAGAAAGAAGAAACCAAAACAGAGAAACTGCTGATGTTTGACAAGACATCTATTGAGGATATCCAGACAGAGAAATCCCTAAGAGAGAAAGGACAGAGGTCAGACAAAGTTACAAGAATTCCCCTTAAAGAAGTGCAGTCCGAGACGGTTACGGTTAAAGATGAATATGAAAGTGTTGCTCCAATAAACGTTATGGAAACAAAACAGGAACAAGTCCAACAAACAGCTTCAATTGCAGCTGTGATGGACGTTGCATCTGAAAAACATCTCATAGTTAAAGAGGGAGACGTCAAATCAGACACTCTCCAAAGATTCATGTCACCTGAAAAGCTCGTAAAAGACATTGCATCAAAGAAAGAGGACATTTATGAATCCAGTGAGGTTCTTCTAGTAAAACATTCACAAAGTCCAGAGTCCTCCAAGAAAAGTGTGGAAGTTTTAGCAGAAAAGCAAAAGATAACAGATAAAACTGACAGAATTAAATTTGTTGACGATACAATGCCATCAAAACAGAAACAAACTCAACAAAATACTCAGGAAATATTAGGAGAAGATGCTAAAACAGAGGTGGTTGTCCGAGACCATCCACGAAAACATGAGGAAGTTAGATATGATCGGACAAAGAAAGCGGACTCTCTGAAGGACCATGGAAAGGTTACGGTGGAAGGTGTTCAGTCGAAAACAGACACCGTTAAAGATGCTTTCCTCACCGTTTCTCCAAATGTAGAAACAAAGCAGGAACAAATAGAAAGAAATGCTTCAAGGACACCTGTGATGGATGTTGCACATACAAAACCATTGATTGTGAAAGAACAAGATATTATATTAGAAACTCCACAAAAGTATATTTCCCCTGACGATCTATTTAAAGACATTCCATCAAGGAAAACGGAGGCGTACGAATCTGAGGATGTAAAGAAAGACAAATCCAGACTGAAGCTGGATCAAGCTGAAGCATTTAAAGTAGGAGAAAGCAAGTCAAAGGTGGAAATACTCGGTGAGAAGACAACCAAAGTCTTACCAGAGTCCACTGCTAAAGCTTTACAACGAGGCCAAGATACTGCAGTCAAAGTTATCGGAGATACTCAAACAGAGATTCTAAGAAAAACTTTGCGTGAACGGGATGAAACTGACACTATTACAGAAGGAGAAGTCCAGTCAACGATAGTAAGCACTACAGTTAGTTTTACTGAAGGAACACAAATAAAGATGGAACACATTAAAAGCAAATCTGAGGTGACATCCAGAGAATCACTGATAGCAGATGACAGGACAGAAAAATGTACCAAAAGAGAAATTCTCAAAGACAGAATCACAAAAAGAGATCAAATTAAAACAATGTCAGCTGAACAAGACTTTAAAGATGAAGAAGAACGGCCAAAAACAATCACTGCCAAAGTTTCTTCTGTAGAAGAAATGAAAGTTAAAAGGTCGCTGTTGGAGGAAGATGCTTTGGAAAGACAACTGACACTGGTTAAATCCAAAGAAATTAAGACAGAAACCATTTTAGGAAAAGACAAAATCATCAAAGAGGTTCAAGAAAAAGAAGAGATAAAAGCCACTGGACAGCAACAAATCAAAGGAGATTGGTTAGTTGTACCCAGGAAAAGGAATGAAATGTATCAAGAGACAGTTGAAGTGAAGGTTTCTGACAAAAACATACCTTCATCAACAGAATCAAAATCAGATATTGATCTAAAGCCTACAGTCAGAGAACCGTCAGTAACAGGTAAAACCAAACTAAAGACTACGGACTCTCCAGAATACGAACAAGTTGCCGCCAGGAAACAGGAACCAGAAGTCGAGCGGAGTCTGAAAGCAGACATCCGATCCTTCCCTCCTCAGGAGGCTGAAACCATCAGCAGCAGGAAGGGAGAAGCTCAGGGGCTTCAGTCCATCATAGAAACCAGGGTTTTGTCTTTGGAACCAGAAGGTGTCGCCCTTCAAGACTCTTCCAGAGGTATAGAAGGGAAATCTGTTATGTGTCACCGAGCACGTGTTTTTGATCTGAGCACCAAACATCGTTGTGCACCTCCTCGTTTTTTCACCCTCTTAAGGATTTCTTAGATTCATACCTCTTTTAAGTGGACATCATGTCATATCACCCATTGTGTTTGGGCACTGTGAAGAACCACCATGCCATCAACTGAGACGGTCTCTCTTGGCTTCTTATCACCTGATATCTAAACCACCACAGCTTCATGTTGGAGTTTTCTCATCGCTCTTTCTAATTCTGTTGTTTGTTGTGTCTGTTATGTTTCACTGTACCTGTGTGTATCCAGATAGAATGTTATGCACGGATGAGGTGAGAAGCCTCTTCCATCTTTAAACTTCCAACTTGTGTTTGTTTCCATCGTTTGTTTTTGTCTTTGCATGGTTCAGTGCTCACCCCATCCGTCTTAATGAGATTCTGATTGTCATATCATTTAATTTCCAAGTTCCTGTGAAGGAGAAGGAATCTCCACCACAACTCAAAGAAGCTCTGGTAGAGCCAGCTGCTCCTCCAGAAGGTACTCAGCTTCTCTTTTCAATGTGTTTTATGTCTGTGTTTGTGAAGGCATTCATAAAAGAACGTCACTCTTGATCAAACATGACTCTTGGTGGTAATTAATGTTGAATATCAATATAAACTTGGTGTCAAGCTCTCCAATCTAGAACGTGGTGTTTGTGTAGAGCTTTCTGTTGAAATCTTTGTGTATTTTGTACTTGAAGAGATCAAAGTAAAAGTTCAAGAAGCTGCCAAAAAGCCTGAAGTCACTGACACAACCAAGAAGTTGGAGAAGAAAATGACTCCACAAGAAGAAGCAAAACCAGGTATCCTGATAATTCTTAAAATAATTCTTGTGCGTTCTTAAAAAGAGTTTTGTGTTTTACCGATACTTCAAAATACTTCCATTCCCTCTTTGTTATACTTGAAGTGACCAAGCCGAAGCCTGTCGCAAAGGCCGAAGAGCCAACCAAGAAGGTGGAAGAAGACAAACCAGTGGTGGTTAAAAGGAAAACTCCTGAAACAGGTAGAAGTATTTGAAGGACCAAGAATGAAACATCCTCTTTGTTGGAGTATATAACCTCCATGTGTTGTTGTTGATTGTTAGTCCGTCTTATTCTGGTCGCTATGACCTTTAGACCTTCAGCAGCAGAACACATTCATGTTGTGTGTCTGTTTTTTGTCGTTAATTCATTTTTCTTGAACTCGAGCATGCCACATGTGTCCTCGGCCACTTCATTTTAGCCTGTTGTCTTTACATATGTCTTATGTTATTCCACTAATGTGATACTGGATTACTTTGCTCTGCATTTCCATCACAACTTCATCCCATATGTCATCCTCATTCTGTATTAGAACATTGACTTACTTCTGAATGTGTCTGGTAAGGTCTTTCCATTTTTAAATCAGTTGAAATGCTCTTTGTGACTACTAAATTACCTAATTAACAATTTTCTGAACTATCCTTCTGTATTAGATGAAACCAAAGGACCCGTCCAAGCACCAGGAGGAGTCAAGAAAGGTAGGAGCTCAGATTTACCATCACTTTACTACAGTACATACAGTATACATCAATCAGCAGCGATAAAATCACACCTCCTGTATTCTTTCTTTTTATTAGTTTTATATCAAAATAATTGGGAATAGGAGGTTTTGATTTTTTTTTTCTATTTCTATGTTTTTTTTCTCTTTTCTAAATGATTGATATGAGAATATGTGTGTGTGTGTTTGTTGTCGTTAGTTGTGTGTCAATAAGTAACGTCAAACGTTTGGTACCTTAGAAATTCTTCTGCAGAAAAAAGGAAAAATTCACACGGAAGTGGAGGGTACGTTTGAGATTCCCACTTTGAGGAAAACAACCAGAGTGATAAAGGAAGTGGAAGAGGAGCAGGAGATTATCAAACTGAAGAAGATTCCATCAGTTCCACATAAAGAGACTGAAGAAGAGGAAAAACCTCAGAAAGTCACCAAGACCACAGTCTTTGATGTTGAGGAGTTGGTGCACAGAGAAGAAGCTGTTGAGATGTCCGTTGCCACCAGGAGACCTGCAGAGGAGAGGAAACCTCGAGAGAAAGCAGATGTGGTGAAAAAGCCAGAAATTGTGAAGCCTAAAGAACAGGAACAGAAAGATGCTCCTAAAGATGCATGGACCCGCCAGAAACCCATTCCAACAGAGGAGAAACCAGAAGACAAGATTTCGCTGAAGAAAACTCCCAAGGCACCAAAGGAAGAGGAACCTGCTCCGCCGAGTGTAGCCTTGAAGAAAGTGAAAAAATTGCCTTCAGATGAGATTGAAGCAGAGGTAGTCAAACTAAAACCATTTGTAAAGCCTGTTAAACCAGCTGAGGAGCCGGAGAAGGACAAGAAGGAGAGGCCAGACAGGGACGCATTACCTTTCCAGAAGCTAGAGAGGATCCCCAAAGAGGTGGAAACCAAAGAACCTCCCAAGAAACCAGAGAAAGCTCCTCCAGAGGTGAAGGAGCCGCCAGCCAAGGTGCCAAAACCAGTAGATAAGAAGAAAACTCCAGAGAAAGAGCCTGAGGAGGTCAAAGCACCCACCAAGGTGAAGAAAATCCCACCACAGGAACAAGAGACAGAGAGCATCAAGCTGAAGCCCTTCTCCAGGCCTTCCAAAGAGGCTGCAGAAGAGCCTGACAAGAAACCAGCAGAGGAGAAAGAGAGGAAGCCAGCCGATGAACTGCAGCGCCGCCGCCGCACAAGTCCAGACGAAAAACCAAAAGAACGAGAGCCAGAGGTTATGCCGAAGAAACCCGAGATCCCAGAAGCTCCAGAGAAGAAGCCGGAGAAGGTGGTAGAGGCGGTTCCAGCAGAGAAGATGGTGTCTCCTGTGCCGGTTTCTGTTAAGAAACCAGAAAAGGTTCCTGAGGAGCCCAAACCTCTGCAGCTGAAGAAGGGAGTCATGCCCAAAGCAAAAGAGGAGAAAGAAGAAGTGGCTCTGAAGCCTTTTGCGCAGCTCAAGAAAGTTGAGCTGAAGAAGACTCCATCTCCAAAAGTTGAGAAGCTCAAAGAAGTAGTCCCTGTTGAGAAGATGCCGAGTATTGATAAACTCAAAAGGATTCCTAAAACGGTTTCACCGAGAGACTCGGTCGAAGCTGTTACTCTCAAAAAGGTCCCGAAGAAGCTGTCGCCGGAGGAGGCTGCAGAACCAGCAAAGCCCGTCAAAGGGAGGATCCCTCTGGTGAAGGAGGTCTCTCCTGGAGCCGTCCAGATGAAGAAGGTCGCCACCCAGCCAGAGGAGGAGGTGTTCGAAGAGGAAGCCGAGGAAGAGGCGGAGCAGGAGGAAGAAGAAGAGGCCTGGGGCTGGGAGCTGGTTCCCCGGGACAGTTACGGCTCTGAAGACTGGGAGGGTGAAGGAGAGGAAGGAGCTCTCGAGGTTCCAGGGGTCACCAGGAGAGGTGAGATGGTGGGCGGCCCCTAAAAACGGCTGAGAAAAACCATTTCTTCATGCTCCTGATAATCTTTACTCATTTCTACCATCATGCCTCCATCATAATAGTCTCTTCATCGTATCTTAAGTGTGATGCGATTTATGCCATCTCCTTCTTGTGTTTATGTTAATTATCATTCTGTTTGTCAAGCTGTCTGGTCATATCCATAACTTTCCGTCATTTCTGTTATGTTATTTGTGCGTCTGTCATTTTAATATCTTTCCATTCCCATCAGTCCAACATGTGTTCTCATACCATCTCTACACTTCGGTTCCTTATTCCATCTCTTCATGGTGTAAAATCATTATTTCATATATTTACCATCACCATCACTTCATATTCACCAATCCATCCGCGTGGACTTTACATATCTCCCAGCACATTGACATATGATCACAGTGTGTGCAGCAAAATTCATTTGAATTGTTTCTGAACAGAGGGACAACCAGCAGAAGAAGCAGGAAGAGGTAGAGGTAGAGGGCTGAAACGTAAGTAAACCTATGAATTCTCAACAAAAAAAACCTGTTATGTTCTACCTCCTTTTTGGTGATGCCACAGAACTCTTCTTGAAATCCAAAACATCAATTCATTCTCTTAAATGATTCTATTTCTAGCCAAGCAGACCCCGTCCCCTGGAGAAGGCCGCGGCCGCGGCCTGAGGCCCGGTGGAAAGGGCCCGTCACCACCAGAGGAACCCTTCGCAGGATTCAAACTCAAAGCCGTCCCCCTGAAGTTCATCAAGAAGATTCAGGACATCGTGCTGCAGGAAGCCGAGTCCATCGGCTCGTCTGCCATGTTCGAGTGTCAGGTCTCGCCCTCCACCGCTATCACTACATGGATGAAAGGCGACTGTAACCTGCGCGAGGATCCCAAACACAAGTTCACCTCTGACGGCAAAGATCGCAAGCTGAACATTATTGATGTGCAGCTGTCCGACACCGGTGAATACACCTGTATAGCCAAGAACGCCGGCAAGGAAATATCATGCACAGCCAAGCTCATTGTTGAAGGTACTTAACAATAAAACCAAAGGTACTTGGTGTTGTGAAGACCAGAAATAGTACCAGTAGTCAAATAGCTCATTGCTTTGTTTGTTTTATCTCCACACAGAGTTACCTGTGAAGTGGATCAAAGAACTGGAGGAGGAGACTTCAGCTATGAAGGGTCAGCCTCTGTATCTGACCTGTGAGTTGAACAAAGAGAGAGATGTGATATGGAAGTGGAACGGAGAGGTCTTGAAGAAACAGGCCGGCAAGATTCAGATCAACATCATCGGTATGCAGCACTCCGTGACCATCCAGAACACCACTGAGGCCGAAACGGGGCTCTACTCGTGTGAAGTGGCCAACCAGGAAGATGTAAAGACTGCAACGAATGTCAAAATCATTGGTGAGCACAATATTGAACATATCGCCAAACACAGTAGCTAGATTTGGACAGGAATGGCTTGTAGTACCGAGGGGCACCACCTTTGTGGCCCATTGCTATTTAAAATACCGTGTCATAATACGCTGTTGACATGCAACAATATATTTAAATTCTTCTGAACAATGTTTTAAATCTTGATGTCCAGAAGTAGATGTCAGTGAGTAACCTGCAGCTAAATTCAGATAATCATATTCACATCTTGGACATTGCAAATTCAGATTATGAGAAACCTTGAATTTCTCTCCTTAAGCTTCACTTCAAACTGCAGTAATGTCAGAAAACTGCTTGAAGTCAGATCATCCAAGACTAAGCCTGTTTTATTTCCTCTGCCCTGCCTTAGACTGCATGTTATATTTAGTATATTAATGGTACACATCCTGTCTTTAATGCTTTAATGTTCTACTCCAATAGAAATCATCAAAGATTGGATTGTGAAACCACTGAGAGACCAGCATGTGAAGCCAAAGGCTGCTGCTACATTTAAATGTGAGCTCTTCAAGGAAACCCCCAACTGGAAGTGGCTCAAAGGAGACACCGAGGTCACTCCTTCTGACAAGGTGGAGATAAAGAAGGATGGAAAGGAGATGACGCTCACCATCAAGAACTGTCAGCCCGAGGACGTAGCAGAATACGCCCTGGAGGTGGAAGGACGCGTCTACACTGCCAAGCTAACACTTGGAGGTTTATCCATCTACCTACTTTCCTTCCTTTGAACTTCAGCCCCTCTAACACTTTTATCTATCCTTCTATCATTTGGTTGATATCTATGAGTACTAATTCAAATCTCTTTCTCAGAGCGGGAGGCGGAGATCCTGAAGCCCCTGGCCAGCGTTGAGGTGGTCGAGAAGGAAGATGCCATGTTTGAGACAGAGATCTCTGAGGAGGATGTTCCAGGAGAATGGAAGCTCAAAGGAGAGGTTTTGATCAGATCCCCGGTATGACTTCATGGACTTGTTTGTGTACAAAATGTTACGATACTTAATGCATGTATTTCTACTTTTGCATGGCCATTTTCATTACTTTATTTATATAAATGTGCTGTGATGTATTCACCAGACGTGCGACATCCAAATGGAGGGTGGGGTGCGTAGACTCACTCTGAAAAACTGCCAGGTGGATCAGGCCGGAGAAGTGTCCTACCAAGCTCTTAACGCCATAACCAGCGCAATGCTCAATGTCAGAGGTAAGAAGTTCTTCTGGTATCTGGGACCGGAGTTACAAATGTACCATGACTTTAAGATATTAGCTGTAAAAAATAAAGAAGTAAGGTCTGTGGGAAATTAAATAAAGCTTTACGGCACGTAAAAGCAGACCTTAGATCTTTATTTAAGAGGGTTGAAGAGTTAAATTCATTATTTGGGGCATTTTTTGAGACGACGTGCAGGCCGGAAAGAGGAGGAGCAATTTTGGTGTGAAATCAACTATTTCCTACAATCTAAATGGTGTCCAGTGTGTTTTTCTGTTGTCTGTCCAAAGGAAAATGTTTTATTTGTCGTTTGTTCAAATGTCTGTTGTTGATGATGGTCAATCGTAAATCTGTATCGTCTGTGGTTAAATATTTGATGTTAAAGCTACGTTCAGTGACCAGTTTATTATTTAAACCAACACCATGCTCATGACTGGGTCCCTCCACCAGACACGAAATCACTGACACTTAGCAGCAGATCATAGAGTTCTGTAAGTATCTGATTTAATCAACATTAAATCAGTCAGATGGTCAAACAGGAGGTAACTGGTGCAGAAAGATGAGTTGGCCTGAAGAATGAAGATTCTGGTCACATCCTGATGAAGCTGAAGTCAGAATTTGGTGCCAGCTGGACGAGATGATGGACTGGTCCTTCCTCATGACGAGAGCTTTGTTGAATGTTTCGTAAAAAACACTTTTTACCAGCAAGACATGACAGCTCTTTAGAGTCCTTCAACGTCATGCTCCAAAGAAGGCTGTTCTTTGTGAACGATCCCAGGAACACAAAGACGTTGTTTTGCTTAGACGACCAGCACAACCTGAAGATTTTTCCACTGGGTTTTCTGTTGGATATGATGGGATTAACTGTGTGTACCATCAATGAGCCACAATCCAGTCTGCAACCAGAACATTGTGGGTGTTTCACATAAATACCGCCGATATCCCTTTGGTAGGATTCCATAGAGGGGTACAACCCAGTAAACTGGCCACTGGCTGTAGTCAGTTGCACCTGTTGTTATGTTTTGTCGTGTTGTTGATGTGTTCTGTACCTGTGTCACCTTTTTAAACCCAGAAATCGAAATGGACTTTGTTGTCCCGCTGAAGGACATTTCTGTGCCTGAAAAGAAACAGGCTAAGTTTGAATGCACCATCACAAAGGATGTCTCTAAGGTCATGTGGCACAGAGGCGCCGACGTCATCACCACAGACCAAAAGTATGACATCATCGATGATGGAAAGAAGCACATGCTGATCATAAACTGCTGTGAATTTGATGACGAGGATGAATATACAATTGCGGTTTTGGGCAAAACGTCCACAGCTAGACTCACAGTGGAGGGTAAGTGCTGGACCACCACTACCGGACCTTTATTATTATCATTATGACTCCATTGAGTTGGTTCACTCCTCTTTCAAACTAACTTACTTGGATATGCTTTACTAATACAACTTTAGGTATTAGGCTCAAATTTATCTTGCCGATAAAGGACCAAACTGTGAAGGAAGGCAACATGGCTCGTTTTGAGCTAGAGCTCTCTCACGAGAACGTCCCCGTCACCTGGTACAAGAACGATGTCAAAATCCACCCGAGCAGAACGGTGGTCACTCACGTGGACGGAAAGAAACACGTGCTAGAAATAAAGGAAGTGACTCTAGATGATACTTGCCAGATTAAGGCCGAGGCCAAAGGAATTCCTTCCATGGCCAACCTGACGGTCATAGGTAAACCACGATGAATCCATCTGTCTTCTGTCTGTCCTCCTCCGCCAGTGTGTCTTCTTCTTCCCCCACAGCTATTTGTCCATGTTTGTGTCACTCATTATGTATTTGTATGACGTTTTACTGTCTTCTATGTCATGCATTTGTGTTCCTTGTCTTGTTTAACTGTCTTGTTCTTTGTTTGCCTTGGACCATATATATGTATGTGTAGTACTGCTGTTGTACATGTGTTGTTTGTGTGTAGTTCACATGTTGTATATGTGTTGAGAGTCACCCAAAAAATTTCCCCATTCCAGAGGGAGATGCGTACTTCACAGTTAAGCTGCAGGACTACACCGCGGTGGAGAAAGACCAGGTGATTCTAGATTGCGAGCTCAGCAAAGACGTGGATGTCATGTGGTACCACAACGAGGCCGAGATCAAGACCTCTAAGGTGGTGACCATTAAGGCTGAGGGCAAACGCAGATCCCTCGTCATCAAGAAAGTCGGGGACAAAGACAAAGGACAGTACATATGTGACTGTGGGACCGACAAGACAACGGCAACGCTTCACATTGAAGGTAAAAACAAAATAATTAGTTTTGAGGCAACCTCCTCCTGCTTCGCACACCTCTGTAGCTCACCCTTCATCTGCACCGCCTTCTAACCAAACCTCGAGACCCATCGCCACCTTTCTTGTTGCAGTTTTTCCATCACCTCTTAATTACCACTGTCATCACCTGTATGTGGTCCCTCTCCCATCACTCCACCCTCATGAAAACGGTAGAAACACACTACAAGAGTCAAAGGGTTTTTCGGAGACGGAAGCTCCGGTGAATTTCTCCCTTGATTATCGCCCTAATGCTGGAGATCAGTCCTCTCCTGTAGTGTTCTTCCACCGTAACTCTTATCCGTCTCTTTATGTGCTTTGAAGGGTCTTCACGGTTCCCCTACCAGAACCACCCCCTCTGTGAAGAAACAAACCCCTTTATTGTTATTCAGTATATTCTGAAGAACTGTGGCACCTCAATACTGTAGTAGGTCCATATCGAACCAAAAGATCTCCTCAGACGTTACTCTTTGGCAATGATGTGCCCTAATGTGTCCAAAAGAATTGACGACACTGGAAGGTCATTTGGTTTTCTATGGTCCTATGAAAAGGCTGCACAATAAAGGAGGTTTCTGTTTAGTGTCTGTGCCCGTCTGTTGTCTTACGTATTTGTATTCGTATGGACTGTGTTTTTGTAATAATGTCAAGTTTGTCTGAATGTCTTCAGTGAGAATTTTTGTCCCCTGTGTTAAACGTCAGCTCGCCACATCAAGGTGGTTCGGCCGGTGTACGGCGTTGAGGTGTTTGATGGAGAGACCGCTCGATTTGAGGTGGAGCTCAGTGAGGATGACGTCCACGGCCAATGGAAACTGAACGGAGAAGTCCTCAGTCCATCCGCCGTATGTCTCTTCAAATAACACTTCAGCAGATATTCTCTTAACCTTTGGATTTGATTCACTTTCATTTTGATTTGGGATTCGATGTGACGTCACATGTCAAACCCCAGGGTTGAGATGTGAATCATGAGGATGTTTGATCTCTTGTTAGCTAACAAATGAAAGTGGGTTGACCAGAGGGCCTTTTTTCTTTGAATCCTTGTGTTTTTTTATACTGAAAAGTTTGTCGGTCGTCTGCAGGATGTTGAGATTGTGGAGGACGGTGCCAAACACACGCTGGTGTTGTACAACTGCAAAGTGCCTCAAACAGGCGAGGTGGTGTTTACCGCCGCCAACGCCAAGAGTTCTGCTAACCTGAAAGTGAAGGGTGAGCTTTTCTTGTGCAAAGTCTCAACGGGCACACGCTGTGCTTGTGGTTTACCTCTTTGGAAATGAAGAAGCTGGAGCACACTGGTTCCTTTTAAGATCTTGTTGTAGTTTTATGGGTCGCTGCAGAATGAAACCTTGATACCGGCTGTATATCTGTCTGAATCAACAGAGGTCCCGGTCTCATTCATTACACCGCTGACCGACGTGCACGTGTACGAAAAGGACGAGGCAAAGTTTGAGCTGGAAATTTCTAGAGAGCCCAAAACCTTCCGCTGGCTGAAGGGATCTCAGGAGTTGTCAAACGATGATAAGTTTGAACTCCTGGTGGAGGGAAAGAGACACACCCTTACTGTAAAATCTGCCAGATACGAAGACGAAGCCAAATACATGTTTGAGGCTGAAGATAAACGGACGTCTGGAAAGTTGATTATCAAAGGTAAATGGTTGTTAGGCAGGAACGGTGTGATGTGTTCTGGGCCTTTTAAACACATCGTCACCGTTATCATCTGTATGTGTTCATATCTTTTTCAACTGTGTTCCAACTCTATTTTAATTGCCTTCGTGTATATATATGTATAATTTCTTTGTCAGGTATTCGCCTCGAATTTATCAAACCCATTAAAGACGTGACCGTGAAGGAGCGTGAAACGGCCGAGTTCAGCGTGGAACTCTCTCACGAAAAGATCCCGGTGGTCTGGTACAAAAACGACGTCTGTCTGCACCCCAGCAAGGTGGTGCACATGTCTGAGGACGGGAAAGTCCACACGCTGGCCTTCAAGGAGGTCACCGTCGACGACACCTCCATGATCAAAGTGGAGGCAATGGGCAAGACCTCAGAGGCCATGCTCACCGTGCTCGGTCAGTATCATTTTGAGGTGTAAATTCTCAGAAATGATACCGAAGACTTGACCTCAGTATTGATGACTTTTTTGGCCTCCCATGTTTCTAAACTGCTGCTGGTTGTTACTGGTTTGTTTTGTTACGTGTCTTCTTGCAGAGGGCGACTTGTACTTTGCGGTGCGGCTCCAGAACTACACCGCCGTCGAGAAGGACGAGGTCATTCTGTCCTGTGAGCTGAGCAAGGCCGCCGCCGAGGTCTGGTGGTTCAAAGACGGGAACGAAATCTTTCCCTCCAAGAACATTTTCCTCCAATCGGACGGCAAGAAGCGAATGCTGGTGATCAAGAAGGCGGCCAAGAGCCACATGGGAGTGTTCACCTGCGACTGTGGCACCGACAAAACCACCGCCGACCTGAACATCGAAGGTAATACCTGCTGCGATGAGGACCCTCCCCCCAGACCCCAGTCAGGACTGGCCCCGCCCACCACCATTGACCGAAACCCCGCCTCCTCTCTGGGCTCATCTCCCATCCATCCTCCATCACTGTTCTCTCACTCTGACTGATTGTACTTGTATAGAAACACTAATATGAACTCTGAAGAAATGATGGAGACATGAATCTGTTAATGTCTCTTCACTCAGATGTTCATAAGAGCGTTCATATACATCTTATGATATTCATATCATACTCATGTATATTTGTTATCTTCTTATTTTTATTGATTTATATTTTACAGGAGATTTCATGGTGCAATTTCAACCATCTTTCCTGCACAACACATCTAGTTCTCTTAAGTTAATGCAAAATTATGATGATTTAAAATTGATTATATTCAAAATTAAATAAATAATAAAAGCAGGCATGGCAATTAGGAGCTCAAACTGTCTGTAAATGTGTTTGTAGAACATATTTACAAAGTTTGAAATTGAATGCAAACTATTGTCTATAAGTGTTAGTCACACCTTTATATATATATATATATATATATATATATATATATAAATTTCACAATCAAGTTATAAAACTAAACTTTTTGTTAATGTGACGATAATTATTATTATTATTAATTTCTGCTGCTACCAACAATAATAATAGAAACAATACTGATAAAGAAGTTCTAATGTTAGTTCTATTTTCACAGCTGACAGAAATACATTTAGACATTTTGATCCTTTCTGGTAGGACAAATCTGATTAACATAATTCATAAATGTCTTCATAAACATGGAGTTACAAGGCTTTATAAGACATGTATAGAGTACCTGTTGACAGTGTTCCGATGTTTTATAGGTCTGGAGTTACTCAATGTCTTCTGTTTTTGTCTGTAAAAAACTGTAAGTCACTCTGAATGAGCGTCACATGTCTTCATGTGTTCACTGTTTGTCCTCCTGAGACACAACATCGTTTGTTTCACTGTACACGACAACATGAAACTGTTCTTACTCGATGTTTCTGTTTTCTCTGGCGGATCTCAGCTCCCTCTTTGGTTTTTCTCAAACTGTTTTTTTAAAACCTCTGCAGAGCGTGACATCAAGGTCGTCCGCCCACTTTACAGCGTGGAGGTCACCGAGACCGAGACGGCCAAGTTTGAGACGGAGATTTCAGAGGAGGATCTTCACTCCACCTGGAAACTGAAAGGAGAGATGCTCCACCCGTCTCCTGTAAGATTCAACTTTATCCTGTGAAGACCATTTAGTTTGAGATGAACTGATTCTTTTGATTGTTTGAACGGTGGATTATTTTTTGTTCTCAGGATGTGGAGATCAAGGAAGACGGATCCCGACACAGGTTGATCCTCTTCAACTGCAAAATGGACATGGCCGGAAGTGTAGACTTCTCTGCAGCGAATGCCAAATCCTCAGCTCAGCTCAGGGTCAAAGGTGACAGAAATAACACTGACACAAACAACAGACAGTTTATGAAAACATTTGTTTGTAGTCGGCTTAAAATCCAGGAAAGTCCGCCTCTTTGCAGACGACACTCTGGTTTCTGTTTGGACTCTGATCCTCCGCTCAACATTTACAGTTACTGCTACCTGATTCACCAGATTGTAGCTATTCCTTCATGGAGTTCACATGTAGACGTGAGAAACATCAAACCTATCGTCTGCTGTGTCCTGATTGGTTGGCTGAGAGGGAAAAAGTTTCATCTTTATCAGTTTTTAGAAGCTCTGGAAGACTTTACTAAAATCATAATGTTTAACTTGAAAATTAAACTGCAATTTTCATTTTAAAGTTCACAATAAAGTCCCCAGTGAGCTTCCATACATCACCACGTCTTCACTCACTGTTGATATCTGGGTAAAACTGAACTTTGTCATATCTAATAAATGATGAGGCACATTAGTGAAGAAAGATGATGAAAAATATTTATTAGAATATAAACATTTTCTTAAAAAGATATTCACTAAAAATGTTGCGGGAGAAATCTTTGAGTAAAATATTTAATGTGTTAACACACAATCCAGTTTGAGGTTATGCTAGCTGTTTCCCCCCTGTTCCCAGTATCTATGCTAAGCTAGGCTAACGAATCATATTAAATGTAAACATGAGAGACCTCAATCTAAGCATCTAACTCTGAGCAAAAAAAAGTAAACAGATTAATTAATAAACTAAATTATTTGCATAATTGTCCTCCAGAAGATCTACAAGCTAAAACATTTGAATATTGTTTTCAGTTTAATGTAATTAGATGGATGGATGGATGGATGGATGGATGGATACTGTATTCATCCCCAGGGGGAAATTTGTATGCAGTATTACAGCAGCAAAGATATACTTCTGCAAACAAAGTAACAGAGTAAAAATATTAAGTATGAAAAATGCACACTATATACAATAAAATAAGTAGGACATATTAAATATAAGAATATAAGAAGATAAAATAACAAAAATACACAGTATATACAATGAAATAGAATAGTGTTAAATTAACTAACTAGGTAAAAAACAGTAGTGCAAAAATCAACCAACAGCAGCAACAACAGTGTAGCGGTGTGTAGTCATGTGAAGGATGATCTGTTCAGAGGTGATTTATTATAAAGTGTTATAGCAGAAATGTTCTCCTGTATCTGTCCTTTGACAGCGGAGCTGGATCAGTCTGTCCCTGCAGTAGGTGGTGGAGAGGGTGCTCCGGGTTATCCAATATGGATAATAGTTTCTTCAGTGTCCTCCTCTCCACCACCTCTTCCAGATAGTCTTGTTAGCAGCCAATGATGGAGCCGGCCTTCTTAATCAGTTTGTTAAGTCTGTTGGTGTCTCCGGCTCCAATGCTGCTCCCCCAGCAGACTACAGAAGTACAGTGCACTGGCCACAACAGACTGGTAGAACATCTCCAACATCTTGCTGCACACGTTGAAGGATCGAAGTTTCCTCAAGAAAAAGAGTCGACTCATCCCCTTCTTGTACACAGCGTTGATGTTGGTCTTCCAGTTCAGTCTGCTGTCGATGGAGACCCCCAGGAACTTGTACTCCTCCACCATGTCCACATCCTCTCCCAGAACTCTCAGTGGTTGTGGAGCCGTTGTCTTCCTTCTGAAGTTGACCACCATCTCTCTGGTCTTGGCCACGTTCAGACGCAGGTGATTTCTACCGGCCCACTCCACAAAGTCATCCACTACTACCCTGTAGTCCTCCTCCCGTCCGTCCCTTATACACCCGACCACTGCAGAGTCATCAGAGAACTTCTGCAGATGGCATGACACAGAGTTGTACTGGAAGTCAGTGGTGTATAAGGTGAACAGGAAGGGAGACAGAACAGTTCCCTGTGGGGCTCCAGTATCACTGACCACCCCATCAGACAGCACACGGCCCAGTCGGACAAACTGTGGTCTGCCTGTGAGGTAGTCAGTGATCCAGGAGACGGTGGACGCGTTAACCCCCATCACCCGCAGCTTCTCACTCAGCAGCACTGGTTGGATGGTGTTGAATGCACTGAAATGAAGAAAGTGATTCTCACAGAGCCACCGGATCCATCCAGGTGCGACTGAGCTCGTTGCAGCAGGTAGATGATGGCGTCGTCCACCCCCACATGAGGCTGGTATGCAAATTGCATGAGGGTCCAGTGAGGATTTCACCTGCGGTCAGAGGTGGGCCAAGACCAGCCTCCCCAGCACCTTCATCACATGTGATGTGAGGGCATCTGGTCGGTAGTCATTGAGGCCAGATGGAGTCGTCTTCTTAGGTACAGGAACCAGGCACGACGTCTTCCACAGCACCGGGACTTCCTCCTGCTTCAGGCTCAGGTTGAAGAGGTGTTGCAGGGCATTAGACAGCTGGATGGCGCAGGTCTTCAGGAACCTGGGGCTGATGCCATCAGGTCCCGCAGCCTTGCCTTGGTGGAGTCTCTCCAGCTGTCTCCTAACCTGGCCAGTCATCACAGAGAGGGGGGGGGGGGGGAGGGCGGTCATAGGGTCGGTGGTGGCAGAGCCCTTTGAAGTGGAGGGCTCTGTGTCCATGCAGCTCACCAGGGGGGACAGAGGGGGGAGGGAGGGAGGGAGGGAGGCAGCCGAGGTGTTTGGGAGGTGTGGTGTGTGGAGGAGACAGATGAGGGCTGTGAACTAAACCTATTGAAGAAAGAGTTTAGCTCGTTGGCCCTCTCCAGGGAGCCCCCTGGTTGTCTCCCTCCAACCTTGAAGCCGGTTATCTGCTTCATCCCGGTCCACACCTCCTTCACGTTGTTCTGCTGGAGTTTGACCTCCAGCTTCCTCCTGTAGGAGTCCTTGCACTCCCTGAGCTTCACCTTCAGGTCGCGCTCGACTCTCCTGATCTCCTCCCTGTCCCCAGACCTGAAAGCTGCTTTCTTCTTATTAAGGAGAGCTTTCAGGTCACTGGTGATCCACGGCTTGTTGTTGGGGAAGCACTGTACAGTCCGGGATGGAATGGTGGTTTGTTCACAGAATTTAATATATTCTGTGATACAGTCCGTCATGCTGTCCACACAGCACATCCCAGTCCGTTGACCCAAAGCAGTCCTGCAGAGCGTCATTAGCCTCCTGAGACCACCTCCTCACAGTCCTGGTGGTCACAGGCAGCCTCTGCACCAGAGGAACATACCTGGGTGTTCATTAGTTTTTTTTATAGCAAATTGAAAACATTTCTGCAACTCATGTCTGATTGACACTTTCAGGGTTATTCCAACAAGATTCATTCTTGTTGATTGTTGATAAAATATTAACGTATAAAGTATTTACATACATTCACAAGAGAATTTCACACTTCAGAGACACGAGCTGCTGCAGAACAAATAGAGTGTAAAGATAAAAGTAGAGTGTAAAGATAGAAATAGAGTGTAAAGATAAAAGTAGAGTGTAAAGATAAAAGCTTCTGGAGGACATTAGGAGTAACAAAGAGTCAAACTCAGATAGTTTGTTGAGAAACTTACTGAAAACAAGAAACTCTTCTCATCCAACCAACAAAAATAAAGTTTACCTGCAAAGAAACAGAGAATAGATTTAGTTGTGTCTTTCTGAAGATAAGAGTTTATGACTCAGTAACACTTATGAATAAAAAATAAAATGAGTAAAAAATCAGGGTCTTTTAGGTAAATCTTTTTATTATATTACTATATTCATTAGAATAAAGTCCTACATTAATGCGAGAAAAACTCGTAAAAGTGTAAAACATCTAAATGATCTTAGTATTTATTTATGTTCATAAAAGAACATCAGAACATTTATCTTTCTGTTATTTAACGGTGTGAAGACGTTAATCCATCCTACGATAGTGGAGCCAGCAGGTTCTTTGACCAAAAAAACACAATACTTGAGTTTATACTAGAAGATGTGTGAGCGTTGTACTCGTAGTTTATGACTTAAATCTCTGAGAATATTCACCTTTTCTTTCTAGTAAATTCTTGTAACATTTCTCTGAATTTGACCTCCTTCCTCTCGCTCCGTTATTTATTTATTTGTTATGTCCCTGATACGCTGCATATCTTCAACAATCAGTGTTTAAATGTAACATTCGATCCTGAGGCAGAACAGTTACAGCTTCACAGTTAAGGGACCGATGGCTCTAAATTAGATCTCAAAATAAATCGTGAAACTGTCGCTGACCGTTAAATCTGAACTGTTTATATTTCCGATAAAGACCCGGATCAGTCTGGTGCTCCTGAACGAGCAGATCCAGATGAAGTAAACGTGTGTCAGCTGTCCGTCACAGTCGGCCGTTAACTGTCTGTGATTAAGACGCTTTAAATGAGGCATGTGAGGAAGCCGGCTGTAAACAGTCGATGCAGCTTGTTCATCTGAAGCGACGTCCTGGATCTCAGAACACGCCGGTTACATGACGGCTTTCAGTCTTCCTGCAGCGTCACGTTAGGTAACTCCTGCGAGAAGCTCCACATTCTCCTTTTCCAGGAAAAAATGTCAGCCTGTTGACTGACAGGAGCAGATTGAATCCCCCCCCCGATAGGTTTGGCAGAGGCGGGCTCTCAGCCAATCGGGGCCCTCGGTTATTTTAGAAGCCGCATGCCTTATCTAGAGCAGGTTGGCAGTGATTGGCAGGGAGGAGGACGCGACCCCGTCCCTCACTGGTTTCCTGCAGGTCGCATGCTAATGAGCTAGCCCCCCAACGCCGAGTCACCAGGGTGTCCATCTGCAGTTGTCGTGAGGAAGTCCACCTTCAGCTCAGCCACACCATGAGGATGAGCCACTGAGGATTATTCTCTCTTTTTTGGATCTGTTGACCTGTTTCGGGGGGGGGACTAATCATGTCTTCTCACCAATCCAAAGCCCGAGTCATCGGCCTGGCGAGACCCCTGAACGACGCCACCGTGACCGCAGGGGAGACCGCCACCTTCGAGTGTGAGCTGTCCTACGAGGGCATCGCTGTCGAGTGGTTCCTGGAGGGTTCCAAGCTGGAACCGAGTGACAGAGTAAGTCCTGACACACCTGAGTCCTCAAAACAAAGCACCACTCACTTCCTGACACACAACACCTGTTGACATGCAGACCCTCCTCCTCCTCCTCCTTGGGGGGGGGGGGGGGGGGGGGG